TTTCTCTTGACTATCCCAGAAGACACATCATCATTTATAATCTATGGTTCCTTAGTCTATCCATTTCATCTTTTGCCACTGTTGATGATGTGATTTTCTTTTCGACTAGTCCTAGTAGAGCAACTCCTTGGAGTGTTCTTACTCTACTTAAGGTAACATATGCCATTCCATCCTCAAACATTTTAGGACCTAAATCAATTACAGCAGCATCAAGAGATAGACCCTGAACTTAATGTACAGTAGCTGCCCACCAAGTTAGTAATGGTAACTGTGTACGCTGTAATGTTACTCCTTGCTTGCCGTAGAACTTGGCCATGACTAGTTCTATTGGGACAGCTTCTTGTTCTGTTGAATCATCAATTGTGACACGGCTCACTAGACCTACACATGGGTCATGAAATTTTACATATAATTTTTGTGGTAAGTCCCCTTTCTTTGCTTGATCGTCAGCTCCATTTGACCAAGAGAAAGCCACAATTATTCCTCTAGCTCCATTTACTAATCCTTCCTCACATATAATGTTACGTCGTAACATAACCTATACTCCTATGGCTAACTTCACTTTAAGTGATAAGCCGGCACAATCTCTATCATTGGAAGGTATGAGCAACTCTGGGACTTTTTCATGTGATACTACACCAGGAATGAGTGTTGTTGACTCTACTATTAAATTCTCTGCATCAAATTCATATATTTTAGTTGAGTGTGATAAATCTTTCAATCTACTGTCATTATATTGTTCTACTTGTTCTTTTAAAGGCATTAGGCGTAACGCATCAACAAATGAAGGTAAACTGACATCAATGGGATCCCTGATTCCACTTTTCAATGTCGATCGGAGTACACTTATGTCAGACTTTGTCTGAGAACCAATTCTCACACGGTTGAGAATATCTGAATATTCTGTGTCTCCTCTTTGTCTCATAATTTGAGCTAGTTCTATTAGTTTGAATTCATCCCTCCACAAGTGTTTTGAGCCTGGATTACAGCCTCTGCTATCTTGAAATACAAATATGTCCCTCACTTGTGGCAACTGAAAAAAGTCACCTACTGCAATCACATTCAGTCTTCCAAAGAGAACCTCAGTGTCATCGGTTCCTTTAATTTCAGTTAGCCTCTTGTGAATAAAGGACA